ATCCTGGTGTTCTCTGCCAAATGCTAAGTACCCTGCACGGTGTTGGACTGTGAGCACAATCCCCAACTGTGGACGTTGGGCCCTCATACCATCCTCATGGAGTCCGTTTCTAACAGTTTATGCAGATCCATGGACATTTGGGGCCTTCTGAAATACCTATGCAGGACTCTGGCAGTGCTCCTCCTGTTACTCCTTGCACAAAGGGGGAGGTAGCGGTCCGGTTGCTGGTTTGTTACTCTCCTACGGCCTCCTCCAAGTCCTGGATTACTGGCCTGTCTCCTGGTAGCACATCCAGCCTATTGACACTATGCTGACAGACACAGCAAACCTTCTGGCCATAGCTTGATGTGCCGTCCTGGAAGAGCTTCCCTACCTGAGCCAAATGTGTGGGTTGTAAGGTCCATATCATGCTACCTTGAGTGTGAAAGCACCATCAACATTCAAAAGTGACCACAACATCAGCCAGAAAGTATAGGTACAGAGATGTGGTCCCCACCTACAGAACCACTTGAGTCTTGCTAATCGCCACTAATTTCCACCTGATGTCTATTCCAATTGCATAACAGCATGTGAAATCAATTATCAATCAGTGTTGCTTTCTAAGTAGACAGCTTGATTTCACAAATGTTTGATTTTATTCTTGTCTGTTATAACATATTTGAATCATATTCAAAAGCAAACACCTCTTTCACAAACTGATTAATTGAAACTGACTTTTTTTCTTTTTTCTAGCAGATTATATTAGTGCAATGCTGGAACATAGAAACAGTCCCTCAATTAACTTCAGCGGATCCAAAACGCTGCAGCTAAACTTTTAACTAAAAACAAACGGTCTTGTCTATCTTAAAATCTCCTGCTTTTAAAACACTGATAGTTGTTTCTAAAGATTTAAATAACCTGGTCCTCTCTTATATTTTTTAGATGCATAATTGTTTCCACTGTAGATGCTTTATTGCTACAGAGAGAACTCTCTGCTGTCCCCCAGTGTTTGCTAAAGACCATGATGAAGCCATAACTAATCCCCGACCTACAAAGGTAAGAATATATTTGCAGTGTCTGGTATTCCCAAATTTGTCTCAAATCATTAAGCAAAATTCTGGCTTACAGGCTGAGGAAAGAAGGGCATAGTTAGACATCAGGTAACACAGGAAACTCGCAGTAACTATATGTAAGTTAAAAATGTTGTTCAGAAATTTTTATAAATAATTTAAAAGACATCTATAAGATCTATGGCCAATGTTTTGCTGACCTTAAACCTACCTTTTATGACCCGTGTACCCATGCAATTTTTTCCCATTATCTCAAGGAAAATGAAATAAAGGCCAGCTATCATTTTGTTGTGGTCTAATTTTTTTTTGTCTCGAACCTTCATTTAATAATATAAAACATCACAAATATAAAAGAAATAATGAGGGTTTTTTTTTCTTACAGCTGCTTTTTTGTTCAAAACCCTTGGCCTTAATTGTCCAAATCTATCCTTAAAGACATATAGCGACCTAAAATTTTACATTTGGTTACATTTGTGAAGATGAGTATTACAGAGGCTGTGCATCTTCAAAGATAACACAGGATGGCGCTGTTAGATAGGCAAAGCTCAATCTACCATCCAGTTAGGTTGGTTTAGGAGTCATGAAGCAAAAATAATTACTGATTACAGATCAGTACTTATTAGAGACTGTAGATCCTCAAATTGATGATCGAAGACCTCAGCTCCTTCTGCAGATCATATATCTTTCTATTATATGCTTTTAATATTACTAATATTTTAGCATTTTGAATACATTGCTTCACATTAGCTTTTTGATATGATATAAAAATACTTGAGAAGTGTCATTATTTGTAGATTTGTGCCACTGTATTGATTCGGCCTCATTCTCTCTCTCCAGCTCTCTCTCTGTGACTTCATTAGCTTTGTATCAAAAGACCGAATGTTGTAGAAGAGAAATGGTTAACATTCTAAAAATAGAGCAAAAAACAGGAATCTGTCTTGCTCATTTTTGGTAATCCTTCTTGTCAGCCAAAAGCATCCTCCCACACCCCAGATATCTTCTGTTTTAGCAAGGCAATAAAAAAGCCAGAAATAAAAGCAGGAGGAGTAAGTCCACCTACTCTCCCAGAGAGCCCTTATCCTATTACCTGATACTCAACATGCCTCAGCATTTACAATACATAACTTTACCTACAGTAAGATATGAAGGATGGAAGAAAAGAATTAGCAGATACGATGACTTGAAAACTTATGACTTAATATGTTCCTTTACAACAAAAAACATCAGGGTACTTTATTAAGATTTTATGTAATAGACAAACACATGTGAACACAGTTAAAAATTAAGAGATTACGACACTAGAAGGAAAAAAACCTACCATCACATGGCTGAACACCTTAACAGTAAAGCTGTGAAAAGGGCAAAGGTAATTCTGGAGGAGCTTCACAGCTCAGGTAAAAAAAATTTGAAGACAGGAAAAATATTACCCAAAACAGCAATAAGGCCATACAAACTCCTGGCTGCAGGTTACCACAAACCATATAAAAGACACAGTAAACATGTGCTAGAAGGTGCTAAGAAAAGTACAGTATGAAGCACAGCAGAAATGAACACAACAAATTAGTCTGAAGTAAAGGGGTAAAGTCATCCAGCTGTAGTTTTATTTAGCAGTTACAGACTTAGAATTCAATTAAAACATAACAATGCTGGTAGAAAATCTTCAAACTGGTTAAAGAACTTCTGTCCTGTAGGAAAACAATCATAAACAAGCAGCCAGTGTAGCCAAAGTTCAGACCTAAATAAATTAAAAATCTGCAACATATAATTTAAATGACTTCAAAGCTGTAGATGTGGGTGAATGTGGTTCTAAAAGTACTGAATTGGAAGTGAATATTAATGTGTGACACAGTTTCTAGATTTTATGTGAGATAAAAGTGTAAACCACATTAGTTTGACACCAAATTGGATACTAAACGTTAGAAATTTTACAGGCTGTGTAAAAAGGCTGGCATAGATGACAAAGATAGAAAACAGCTGAATGCTTTTTTTTTATCATAACTTATGAATGAAGACAAGTTTAAGCTTTAGATGGTAAGAGTCTGATGCCACTCAATTCTTCAGAAATGTCTTTGTCACTTCATAGAGAGCAGCAGGAAACGTCCGTTTTTATCTTAGGCTAGTTCAGTTGTTAAATAAAAACTACTGCATAAATACTATCAGTGTGAGGACAATAAGGGACTGCAATTCTGCAATTGTTAGTGCTACTTGCAGAGTGTTAATGATGAGGCGGAGGCAGCAGCCATCTGTTCTTCTCTCTGTCACTTTAAATCTGCTCCAGATAATGTTGCTGTGCGACTGGGCTTCAACACCGACCTAGAAACGGATCTATTACTGAAGAGCACTGCAGTGATTTCCTTTTCATTTGTTATCCAAAAAAGGATGGGCCAGATTTGCATTTCAGACCAAAATAGATAATAGAAAAGGATTGGATACTTAAATCTGTGACAAATAATGAAATCATGAAAAAATGAAGAAATAAACAATAATTAATACTGAAGTCCTTTTTTCGAAAGCATTTCTTTTGCTTTAAAGGTAATAGAGCAACCAGTAGCCCCTAGATACTGACAGTCAAATACATGCAGTTTGGCTTCAGGCTTAATTCAGACTCAGCTGAATAAGAGGCTGAGACATACAGACAAGGCCACAATTGAAAAGACACAATAGTAGAGAGGATTACATAACTTTTGGTTAACAAACCAGATGATAATATCCTTACATGAGACACTGAGAACCAAACAGGCCCTGGTACACACTGTGTTGGCTCTGACATGATCCCAGTCTAAACCCATGTGACTGGAACATCTGCTGTGACCCTGAATGAGAGTGCCTGTCCAGAGCAAGGGGCTTTATATGTAGCAGGAGTGTTTAATTACTCAACATACTGTTGCTGAGAACCAAAGCAATGCACTGTGTTGGACCCTTCTATTATAAACCTTAAAATTATCTCTAAATAATTACAGTATTGCTGGCCGAATCTTAAGTTGAAGAAATGGACATTCATGTTTTCAGTCACTAGAGTTGTATGCATTTACAAAAGCAACAGTAACAACAGTAATTTGCATGCATCTATTATGCAAGGGTGTAGAATGGAATCTCACACAACATAAAAGTGGGTTTCCTCCTTTGGAAAACACCTAGTCTACTTTTATGTTTATATAAACCATTAAATACAAATGGGATATATTACCTGTAGATAGAATTTACTTTCATGTGATTCTTGTTAGAAGTTTACATGTATTTATTTTGGGCATGGAAGTTCTTAATTTGGGTATTTAATCATGCATTGGAGTTGGGAGGGGTTTTCAAGGTAGATTGATATTCCTAAATAAAACTTCAGGGATTTTCATAACAAAATTGGATGAAGGAATTTTAATTTATTGCAGGTATCTTTCTAGCCCATACAGGATCCAAGTTAGATGTACACTTACATTACTAATAAAAATCATGCTAGTTATGGAATGTGTTTGGAACAAATGAATACCACATTATTAGATTATAATTAAAATAATTAAACCACAGAGGTTTTCATCTAAAGTCACAGAGACAGTAATGCTGAAAAACCGATGCTGCAGGCTGCTCCAGTTTCCTGAAATGCTCTTGTAGCAAATCAAAGTGGTACTCAACAGTTTGAATGCACAGAGATTACTAGAGACTATCAAGCCCTCAGGTCACTCTCGTGAAGACTGTCTCATGATTTGGTCAGGGACATTCCAGCTATTGGCCTTCTTAAAGTCACATTATAGGGTTCAAGTTGCATTCATGCTGCTCTTCCTTGTATGAAGGAGCAGATACTGGTCCTTCATGTTGATGGATAAAGAACCTCTGGTAGTCCGTTCTCCTGTGCAAACTCTAGGGTCCATTTATCGCCTCATGCTACCAGTTGTGACATCAACCTTGGTCAAAGGAGAAACTACAGAGAGGCATTCAAAATATATATATTTTTTTTTAACGAAGGGGAAAATAAGAAGCTCTGCTGCCTTTACCTGCAAAACCATTCTTGTTTTTTTGGGTTGTCTCATTGTCGCCTCTTTAGTGCAGCTGTTTTTAGCCCTAAAACAGCTGACACTATCTAACCGACCAGATCCAAAGTCTAGATGATGTAGGCAGGTCTGATTAAAAGTATTCTGTTGATTAAAATTTGTTATGACAAATATTTCCTAAAACAAATTTAGTATGCAGCTGCAGAGAAACTGTTCACTTCTGCAGCATTCCCAAAGATCCTGTCATAATTCTGGCTGAATGTTTGACCAGTGTGATATCCAGAAATGGGACATTTCATTTGAACAGGAAATATTATATAAGTGCACACTTTTAAAGTGATCTGGGTTTAAGACATGGCTTTCAGGGAAGTCCACTTCAGAATCAAGTGTCTCTTGCTCCTTTCAAAACCAGATTTGGTAATTGTTGCCATTTTGTTGTGCTTCTCACTTTTGTCCAAGCTTCAACCATCTGACTCAAGCTGTCCCACTTAGATAAAATGAAATGATGATGCTGAAGAACAACCCAAGAACCTCCAAGATCTTAGTTGGTTATAAACTGGAAGATTATGATACCCTTGCTGTGTACAGAGACTGAGTCGATGCAGACTGATAAAATTGAGAAAAAGAGGCCTGGACCAAATAAACATCTTTACATCAGATAGAATTGGTAGCTGTCTTAACGGACAAGCTAAATGCCTGCTAGACAAAGTCTTTTATGGTCAGATTAAGTGAAGATGATTCTTTTTGAGAACAATGATATGAACAATTTAGGAAGAACTCAGAATAAGGCTCTCAAACAAACACTTTAACCAATGCAATGCTGGAAACGTATTTTTTGAATCATTTGGCTCCCTGTGCTATCAGTGCATGGAACAAAGTGGATGAAATGAGATGATCTCAAAATTCCTCAACTAAACTTTAAAATGGACACCATTTTTTCTACATATCAGAGGAAATTACCACAGGAATTTGACACCAGCACAGTTTTCTTTACAAATATATGTAATTTTACCCCTGCCTGTAGACTGTCTGTGATTCCAACTCATTTGACTAAATTTTATTATAAGAAATCCCAGTGGTTGATCGTTATCCAACCAACTCCCATTGAATACCATATCAGTGGTAAATTTATGTAAATTTCTTAGTACAAAAAACAGCAGTTTTAAGCTGATGCAGTGGGAGTATTTTCAACACAGCAAGCTAACTTATTCTGTCCGACAGCCTCAAAGATACCATTGTTTGTAGAAACAGCTGGAAAGTGGCTTAAAGAACCTTCGCCTTGCACACAAACACATTTTTAAAAAAGCAAATGGACATTTTGTCCCATTTCACTTAGAATTTGACTTGTTTCATGTTCTACTACAGTATGTACAACCGTATATACCACGGTAAAATTAATAAACACAGAAGAGAAAGTCCTTTTATAACTTTATTGCTCTTCCATTGACATTGGCTGTACTTTGCCATCATGTTTCCTGATCAGCTGTTTTTCCCTGAGAAGCACACATCCAGGGTAAAAGCAAAGTTCTCATAACAGAAAACAACAGAGTACGTCAGGATAAACCCTGCAAAAAATACCTCACTTTGAAACAGAGATGCAGAAAATAATATAGTGTAATTTTTGTGTAAACATTAGTGGTATATTAAGTTTAATCTAACATCATATGGTAGCTGAAGGGATTGTTCACCTGGGCATTGGGCATGCAGCACACTGGCCAACCCTGCTTAACGGGACATCTAAGAAGCTTAAAATGCTAATGCCCAAATGGCTCCAGGTAGCTGCACAGTAGAAACAAAGAGCCTTTATAAAAATGCAGTCTGGGTAAGAGACATCAGCAAAAGAACAAAAGTTATTTAAAACATTCAGTTTTCTTTTTACTTAAAAATGAAAAAGACACTTCATCTGAGAACATATATGACCATACAGATAATTGGTCATTATTAAATAGGGCAAATTCAGAATTATATGCACATTTTTAAATAGATTTCAAATTAAAACTATTTAATTTTGTCAAGCATGTTTTAATTTTTCAAAGTATGGACGTAAGTGTGTTATTTTTTTATGAGACAATGGTTTAACAGTTCATCAGGATTTACACAAATTGGGACAAATTAACTAAAGTATGATGGATATTTTGTCTTCTTTTACATCTTGAAATGCTTTTTTTAATTTTTCTTGGGGGGTCTTTCATCCTCCCTCCATCTATTCTTCCGTCCAACTAATTTACTAATTATTGTACCTGCACTTCTTCTCTCTTACCATCCCTGTCCAGGACAACATATGCAGAAAGATTAGCACATTTTAAAATTATCATTTCAAATTAAACATCCATGTCTGACTTTAATTTGTTTCTGTGTTCAGAATGTCAAATGTGCTGACATCAGTGGTACATATTGTTGTATAAACACCTTGGATGATGTCCATATGTTTAGAAAAAAAAGGCATTAATTTAAAAATATATATTTTTTAATAAGAGAGTTCTTTTTTGATGTGGTTCAATCTTCTTATTTGAAGTCCCTTTTTAACTGAATTTGCCTTAAATTAGAGTTGAAAAGGAAAGTACCAAACCCAGGCTGAGTCTCAGTTAGCACATAAAGCACTCATGTTCTCCAACAGTTTATTGTTCCCTAACACAAAAGGAGAGCTTTAGGTGCCTCCACTGACCCCTCATTCAGTCTGCAGACGCCTCACAAATCCTTCTACTCTTGGAAAAAAAAAAAAACTTGAGTAGAGATTAAAAAGCAGAATATAAGATCCAAATAAACTTTTTCAAAAGTATTTTGCTCTTTTTGCCAAAGATAACGTCATCACAAAGAGACATCTTTTGAAATCAGCTGACATTCTTGTATATCCAGTAAATTATTTGCATGAAACCTGAAGAAAAAAACGGATAATACTTATTTAAATCATCCTTTTTTTTCTCAATTTAATATTAAGAAGGATTTGAAGTCAAATGTTAGCAGCCTTTAAGGTGCGGAAGTGCTGAAAGTTTGTCTGCTTTCCCCAAAGCAGCTGCGTTCTCCACTCCTTTCAGCCATTCTTTACATTTCCTTACAACAGTCTCGTCCACATCTCCGTCCTCGTCCTCGTACTCCACATCATCGTACTTGTACTGATCGTTCAGCAAAGATATTTTAACTATAGCTGTGATGTCCTGCTCCGCGCTCTCCGCCTTGGCGCCAGGTGCGCAGCACTTGGACGCACCGTGCGCCTTTTTGGACGGGAAAACACGACGGTGCCGAAAGTCAGCAGAGGCGCAGCACTTCTGCTGTTTGGCCATCATCTGTTTTTCCAGATTTCGTTTTTTAATAACTAGAATGGCTTCAGGGGTTAGACTGAGAGAGAACTGAATCTCCTTCTTTGTCTCCTCTTTTCCACTGAGATGTCTGGCGGAGTCCATGGAACTGGAGCGCCTTATTCCCAGAGATGAATCTTGTGGTTTGGGTACCGATAGCCAGGAGCACTTTCCCTGAGTTTCTTGACCAGAACTGGATTTCTGAGCTTGGCATTTATTCTTCTCCTGCTGTGATCTCCGTCCTAGATTCCTTAGGTGTGCTGATGTCCAAGAACTGGACTGTTTTTCCTTCTCGGATCCCGATTTGCCGGTTGGATCAGTCAGAGGGTGGTCTGAGTTGGCCTTCTTTTTCCCAAATAGATCCCTGCCAGGAGAGGAGATCCGCTGCTGGAGGCTGATCGGCGGAAAAGGCATCTTTGTGGCATGAAAAATATTAAGACATGAAAACCTGCGACTGTAACCTGGAAGGCCGTGCGTAAAGCGAACACAGGCGCAATGTTGGCATTATCCTCAGAGCGCAGAGCACCTGCTGTCCACAGACTGGAGTAAAACTGGAGCACACGCACAGCCTGGCTGCTTTATGGTGGAGTAGGCAGAGGGGGTGTGGCCTGGAGGGAGGCCAAACAAAGAAACGGAAGACCTCATGACGTCACTTACTAGATTTTTTTAGGGTCTTCCTTATAATGAAACACATCAGCCTTCTGATAATCACATCTATATGGGATTATACAAAATACTGCTGCGTCTTGATTTGCTTTAAATTTTTAATTCATTCCATCTTTATAAAATTAGCTATTTTCAAAATTATTTCAATCTAAAGTGGTTCTAAAATAAAGGGTTTCATAAATATTTGTTTTGAAGAATTTAAGTCCTGGAGTAATTAAATTAATCTTAGCGCATTTGAATATTTGGATTGTAAAATTAAAGTTGGTAAAATTTTGAATCTTGGAAAAAAACAACAAATCATCTCTAAACCTTAAGTGTAATAGTCTATCACAACCATTTAAATTTTACTATGCAATTTTTAAGAATGTGCACAGAAAAGGGAAAGCAGTCTTCATAGACTTGTCATGAAAATAAGCAATAGAAAGAATAACTGTTAGAGATTTGACTTAATCATGACCCCCCCCCCTGCTTTCCCATGACAGAAAGACAGATTCTAATCCATGATCAATTTTAACATTATCAGTTCTCTAGACAAGAACTACAGCTGTGATTGAAAGTTTAAACACTCTACCATTTAAGAAAATGACTAGTAATTAAAATAACACAAAACTGAAAAAGTCATAAATATGACTAAATGATAATTTCATAAAATATAGATTTTAAATTTTTTTTTAAAGCATAATTCTCAAAAAAAAAAAAAAGACAGACAGATTTAAGTACCATGCTCAAAACAGGTGCAGAAGTCTGACTGAACATTTCAGGAGTAGATATTATAAAAAGCTTAGTGCAAGGAAAAAAACATTTGAGTCCATCTGTGATCCCTACTCCAGCTGGGTTTGATATATAAAGAATCATTGTGTTAAACTGCACCTCATGAATGCTGGAGGACCTGTGATGATTGTGGCTAGTTTTTATAGGTACCTACCTATTGGTACCTACAAAGAAAATTGGTCTTTAAAGAAATTTCAGACCAAGAAAACTAAAGTAATCAGGAAGAAAAAAAAAAAATAATATATATATATATATATAAAAAATAGTGTAAGCACAAAGCAAGCAGCACTCTAGAGGGGAATAGTAATGGTGCCCTGTCTCTGAACCCAGAGCCATGTCAAATTTAAGAGACAAACAGTTAAGAGGAAAAGAGGGGGTAGATTTTGCTACTGGAGTCAACGCTTCATTTACCAGCAGTTAGACATCACCCTGCAATTATTATTTTTTCCTTCAAACAAAGAAATAAACCCACAGCCCCAAAGTAAGACAAGAAAACCTTTTCCAACCTTTTTCTTTTCTTAAAACATCTTATAGTAAAAGAGTGACATACTCTATTTCTGGTCTGCTTTGATAACCATCCATCTCCAACAGTCTATGGAGAAAAGGCACGGTACATCCCAGACAGGGTAAATCATCATATGGCCATGCACACATACACTTTGAAAACCAATAACTGTCTTATTTTTAATTAGCGGCTCTATCTGCTCAGTGGGCTAGCAGATTTTAATTTCTCTCTGTAACTTATAAAGACATTTCTAAAAATTGTTGTGGATACATTTTAGACTTGTCCAGAGTCAAGTTTTAGGCAGCTCTATTCTAAGCATCCTTTACATATGCAACTTGCAAAAACCAAATCCTGAAGGAACACAAATACACGAGGAAGGACACAAGGAAAAAAGAAAGGAGGATGAGAAACATGATGTGTAACTGATGCTCATAGGTCAAAACTTCTGACTTAAGTGAAAAAATAAGCAGCAAAAACACACCATTGGCCAAGTTATTTATTCATCTTTACAAGAAGATTTGGAGCGCTAATCTGAAGAGGAAGCAGAGGCGTGTGGGTTCCCTCATCTCTGTGACATAACCACAGATTAAAAACTAGAGGAAACAGCTGGAACGCCAGCAGATTGCAGAGGTCAGAACACATCCCCTTCAACCAGAAACTTCAGAACAGTCCAAAAATAGTCGGCAGATGAAAACAAATGCAAAGCCCACAACATTCAACGAACAATAATCATTTTGTCCTTTGCATTATTCTGACGGATTTGGTGGATCTCTGCCAAATTAGTTGCACAAATGAAGGGAGATTGTGTGGATGAAATCCCACCACAAGAAAAAAACATCTAGCAGCTATGTGGGCATTAAAGTTTAAGAAAAGGAAGGAGGTGATTAATCAGGAAGATAAATAAAACTATAGACAAATCTAGACTGAATCCTGGAGTGGATAAATCATCTTTGTCAGGTTAAGCTTTATAAGCTGTTGGTCCATTTAACACACAGGGAAAAAAAAAAAACACCTTGACAAATGTGAACATCTGCTCTGAAAATGGGGGTAGGAAGGAGCCTTGCATCCTCCAGAGGAGGTAGTCATGGCAACCACATCCTCAAAGGCTACATGCCAATGCAACACAGGCAGCACAATGCAAGCTGGGTTATTAGGTCATGTCAAAATCACAACGCTCAGGGAAGCGTAATTAACTGGGTCATCCCTACATATGGCAGTAAACCACATCTAAAACAGAACGTTTCTTTAATGTACATTTTTGCGTGGGGGGATCAACGTGTGGCAGAATGCACACTTTAACCATCAGACAGAACAAAAAAAAGCAGCACTTTTAAATCTCTCTAGCAGAAGAAAAAAATAGCCATTTCAAAGAGATGTAGGCACTATGCATACCAGTGCATCATCAGTGAAGCATTGACTCTTAAAAAAAAAACCCAAAGCATTAGCATCTAACATGCTTACATCACTTTAAAATTCCAAAACAAACAAAAAAAAAAAAAAACAGAACAGAAAGCTTATTACTGCTCAAAAAATGGAAAGAATGTGTTTGGCATAAATACAGAGACATGTTAAGGCGCTGTTTTTACAATTCATTTTGCATTAAGTCAAACCAATTTCCCTGAACAAGAGTTGTATAAAATCTTCAGAAAGGATAAGAATATCACAAGCATCTACTAAATATATTAAATATTAAAGGCAGTGATTATAGACAAGGCTGATTTACAATTACATTCTGGCCAAATTTAAACACCTTCAGCGAAAAACAGACAAGAATTCACATTATAAGGCAAAAAGCAATGAAAACTGAAGGAAAAGTGTATAAACAATGTATTTTACAAGTTTTTTGTATACTGGAACCATTCCGCAAAGCAAATTGCAGCCTCCTGGGCTTTAATTAAGGCAGGTTGTGAAGCACTTCATCACTGCATCTCTGTAACAAAAAAAAAAATGTAATTAATCACACAAAACAGCATTTCAGTTAAAAACAGCATTATATGTGAAAAAATTATATGAATAAAAAATATAAATTGAAGTCATATCCATGATGTTTAAAGACACCAAAACCTTTTGTCAGCAATGTTTGGGTGTGGCTCTTCATGAATAAGTGAACATGTTTTGACGGGGAAGAAATCGCTAGCTTCAGGTGCATGATGTCAGATTGTAATGCAAGAGCTTCACCATGGCAACCATGCATTGTTGCCAAATCCATTCCCTGCCTCTGGTTTTACCATGAGTGTTGCTATGCAGACTTCTTCTATGCTACCGTCTAAATTGGACGCAGGAGCTGTGAAACGCGTGAAGGTTGAAAGGAGGCACAGTCTGTGTGGGAGGAGGGGAGAAGGACAGACCGAAGGGAGGCTCGCTCCTTTAATATATAATCCTACCATAAGTCTGTGTCCAGGAAGATTTAACAGCAGAATTGACTCAGTCATCATGCTTTCTCTTTTCTAAGCAACTAAGGCTAATTTTGTTTTCCTGTGAATAGATACTGTACATCCTTCCTCCTACCAACTGTCCACTGTAAAATTAAATCCTTTCAGGAACCTCTGAAGGAAATGGGTTTTATAATCAGTATGCACCTAATATTATAAAAAAGATAAAATACTGATGTGTGCATATGATTTGCCCATGCTACTTTGGAACTAAGTTTAGCTTGAAACAATCCAAAAACCGGTGTAAAAATAGGTCAAATTTCTTCCAATAGGTGAATTTGCTCTTAACATAAGCAGCTAAATAAGTTAACATTGCAATATAAAAAAATATTTCTGTACTTATAAAAAAAATTGAAATAGGATAATGGAGTTGACTTTTTTTATTTGACATATAGATCAACTCATTACATTGGCAAATTGTCTTACCTGCTTAAAACAATTGAAAATGAACTTATAGCAAGGGGGAAAAAAAACGGTAACTTATATTTCAATTTCTGCCTGAGATTAGAATTTAGATTTATCCAATCTTCTAATTTAAATATGCATCGCTTAATACTTAATTTCGGATTTTAAACACATAAACTTAGCTTGTGGACTTGAAAGCTTATTAAGATAAAGTATTTTCATTAAGTAAAAAAAATGCTAATCATTAAAAAAAAAGTAAAATAAAATCTCACCTTATGTTACATCCTGTCACTTTATTAATTATTTTTCCTAATGGACTGAGATGACCCTCATAATATTTGACAGATTATAACCCCTAAAACCTCCTATAATAAGCAGAAGGCAGTAAATCCTTAGCTGTCAGATTTGATATAAAACGCCCCCCTGGTGGTTCCAAATGAACAGATGCTTAATAGAAAACGTAGTTCGGCGGGTTTATCAGTCAAATTTCAAAGATTAAAAAACAGCGAAGTATTTAACCAGCTTTTTGTTTGGCATCTAAACCAGTGACTGCTAGGAATTAAAGGTTGGTGGTAAATACCTGATCTGAGAGTAGGAGGCTAAAATGGTTTTTACTCTATCGTGTTTGGTGTTTAGTTGGACTTCTTAAGATGAACATGACCCTCAGAAATTCAGGTATCTGAAGTTTAGTTACTAAAATAAGGAATAAACTACAGAAACATGCTTTCCCGTGTTAGGTTAGGTTTCGACAGACTTGAAAAATTAATAAATTAGATTTCTTCTTCCCAAAGTTGCATGAGAGCAACAGCAGTCTGAAAGGTCTGTGGGAAGTGCAGACGCAGCAGGTTTTAGTGTCTGCATCTATAAACCTTAGAGGGTATTCAAGGCTACAAGGTAAAACACATTAAGGGATCAAGTCTACCCGCCATGTGGTGTCGAGTCTCGACAGGTATGGGTCAGTCTGACCAGAGATGGGAATGTAAGGGTTTAAATAGCTATTCAAAAGTAGATCAGTATACTCCAGGCTTACAACAGCAACCAACAGAAAGCCAAGTGATCAAATCTAAATTAAATGAAAAATGGATTACTATAAGAGGCTTAAGAAAAAAAGGGTTGATGAAACTTAAAAGAAGGAAGGGAAACACAATCTCATCACCAAAATTTTAATTTAGAACCTAAGAGAAGGTGGATAGATTTGCATTTCATCAGAGGAATCTGCTTTTCAGGAGGGCGCCGTGGTTTCTTTGTCTTGGTTGTGTTTTGTTGTTGCCTTTTGTGTGGGGGAGGGCGATCCCAGGGAGGTTACATGATGTCTCTCAGCTGTCAGGACAGATTATAGGGGTCACCCAAACACAGGGCATTTAATGGGGGAGCTGCATGGAGGCGAGGGGGGATCCAGACTGCTCACAAACTGAGATATGACCCTACTTACAGCTGGACTGACAAAACAACATCACACCTCCTGCTTGGTTCAACAAAAGCACTCAGCTGGCTGCCATACGACCGCTTTTTAAAAAAGAAAGGCTAAATCTTGCAAAATTATTCTCTTTTAGTTACATCTTTAGTCTGTGGCTCATTTAAAGCTGTAAGACTTCAACAAGAAAAACAAGGCAAACCTTCATCCTGTCAGAATCTAATCAAAATTTGCTTTGAGCGATAACCCTCAACAGCTTAAGATAAGCTCATTACATATCATTCAAAAGCTGGATAGAAGAAAAATATTTGTTAAATCTGTCTAAAAGCCTTACTCCACTGAAAATCAATTTATTCTGATATGAAGAACAAAACAGAATCACGGGGCTAATACCTAGAAAGACAAATAAATAAGCAGCTGCCATTTGTTTGACACAGAGAGCTCACACTTGTCATAGTGGGATGGATTAGAGCCATATGGTGGAGAGAGCCAGTGGTGAATAAAAACATGTTTTCAAAGACAACTACAAGCAAATACCACCCATTTGTTGTGAGCAGTATCACTAGCAGACATTCCTATCAGCTGTGGGTCAGGTTCTTATAAACACAATGTGAACTGCTGTTAGGAAAGAAAACATTATTACAGTGTTAAAGGTCACAAACTAACAGCATTTAGATCATTAGATCTTACCTGGCAAAAGGAATGTAAGAGATGCTATACCTAAAAACAGAAAACATGACACATAATTATTGGTTATATCAAATGGCATCAATTTTTAGAAAGAATGGTTAAGTCAACTAAGTCATTTGTATGGTCTAGATTTTTCTTTATCTTTTCTAAACGAAAACTTTCTTCATTTTTATTGTTATCTCATCTTAATGAAAGGTGCATCTTTGAACTAGAGTTCAAAGAAAACATAATTAATGACATATATTAGTTCAATCAATAGAAATAACTGCAGAGCTTTGTGAAAAGTATTCCTACTTCTTGTTTTGTGTCATTTTACATTTAAAAATAGTAGATTAAAAGGATATTAATGCAATAAATGGTCCAGTCACTCCAAAGCTACCTAGTCTAACACAGCATCATGGAAACATGACAAGGTTTAGGGTGTCATAATACCGGTCATGGATTTTTTTTATTTTTTTTTTAGATCATCATACATTTCACAATCGTCCATTAAATCACAAATATATATGCTGTTATCTTTTCTTCAACTATTTGAAAGATTTCAAACTTAAATTACTGGAACTTAGTTTTTTTTAGTTAAAAATTGGAAACAGTTATTAAACCACCTAAACTAGTCTAGAGAGGTTAATAATACGAATGATTAACCAAAGACAAAAATCGTTTGAAAATATTGAACTAATCTAATGAGGACGTGATGTTTTGTTTGGGTTAAACTGTTGTCATCTTCTCACTCGGTGATGAAAGAAGTTCAGCTTCCAAGCTGTTGACTGGACTCTGCCCACTTCTCTGAGGTTTAGTGGTGACATCTCAGAAAACAAGTGTCTGTGTGGGAGCGCACTGTGCTCTGGCTCTGAGCCAGTGTGAGTTGTGGGTGCCATGGCGATGTCTTGGAGGACATTAGAAGACAGGAGATGAAAGTAGGAGGTGTATGGCTGAGGCAGAAATCTGCCAAAACTGCCCTGATCCGTTATCCTCCAGAATACTAGCAGATGAGCAACAATAGAGTCACAGTGACATTCGAAACTATTGTTAGTTTTTTTTTTTTACTTAGTTCATAGTAAGAATCATCCAACGCCTGAAATGCTGACATCACAGTTAAAGTGAAGATGAACCCAAGAAATTCTAACATTTCACATGGGAGAATTTGGATTTATTGGATGTTCCTAAAGCATTAATACAAACCACATCACAGGACTGTTTTTTATATGTATGTTTATATATGTACATTCCCCCTCAGATCATCAAATTATGGTGTTAACTCCAAAAATGTTTCTATTTATCAATACCAGCTCACCCTAGCCCTGTGTGAAAAAAAAAAAAAATCTTCTCCTGATGTTAAAACATAAATGCACCATAATTAACCAAACTTGGAAAGCAGAGTTAAAATTTGACCAGCCTGATTCAACTCTAATTAATACAATTCCTGTAGAATAAAGGACTAGTTTAGGACTGGTTATATATTAGGTTTAAATATTTATGAGCGATTGAGAAACAAAGTCATCAATGTCTGAAATTGTTAACAAGCCACTTCTA